AGATGCCAAGCTAAATAATTGAAGAGAAGGTTTGTCGTGGATAAGGTGAGTAATCAGCTTACAGTTAATTTATTTTTTTATTGTATTTAAAATTTTTTTTTGGCAGTACTGGGGTTCAAACTCAGGGCCTCATGCATGCTAGGCAGGCACTCCACCACTTGAGCCCCTCCCAACCCCCCTTTTTTTGTGTGTGTTGAGTATTTTCAAGATAGGGTCTCTTGAACTATTTGCGAGCTGGCTTTGAGCTGCCATCCTTCTGATCTCTGCCTCCTGAGTAACTAGGATTACTGGTGACATGAGCCAGTGGCCAGCTTGCTTACAGTTAAAGACTATTAGTGAGGAATGAGCAAGAATGATTTTTATAAAAGGTGTTTATTTCATATAAAAGATTAACAGTGGTAAGTGGGTTTAGTACAAATATTTGAGTCCCTGTTAGGTGCCAAGCACAATTCCAGGCATCAGCAATATAGCAGTGAACAAAATTAACAAAATCCCAAAATGTAGAATATGTCCAGATGTCAGTGTTTTCATTAAAAAAAAATAAGAATAGTGGGTGTGCGTTGTGGAATACATGTGATTAGGGTTATTACTTTTTCATCTGGGACATTCAGGAAAGGCATTCCTGTGACACTGGACATGAAAAGATAAGTGCTTACCTTTCTTGGTGAAAGAGGAAATACCAGTATAGGGGCCCTGGAATAGGACCTTATTTTAGGAATGCAAGATTACATGGTTGGAACAGAGTAAACATTGCAGAGTGTCATAGAAGATGAAATCAGATAGTTTGGGTCCAAGACAAAGGGCCTTTGAACCATCGAAAACTTTGGCTTTATATGTAGTTATCTTGTGGTTTTCAGTAAAAGACATGATCTACTTTCAGGATTATGCTATAGTGAGGAGACAGGATCAAAGGTAGAAACAAGAAACAAGACTATCTAGGAATCTTCTAGTGATCAGGGGAAGAAAGTGTTGTCTGGACCAGGATGGTAGAAGTAGAAGTAGTCAGGAGCAGTTGGAGACTAGAGCAAATGGATTTGTTAATGGGTTGAATGTGGAATGGGGAAGATAAAAGTTACTAAGGCTTTTGACCTTAGTAATCAGAAGGATGAAGTTTCTATTTACCTAATGGGAAAGACCTAGGAGTTAGGGCTTGCATGTTAGATTCAAGGTGCTTTAGTAAACATCAAAATGAAGGTGTCTGGTAGGCAGTTGTATATATGAGTTTGGACATTAGAGGACAGAACAGGGCTGGAGGTATAAATTTGGGTATTTACTAGCATAGGATTGGAATTTTAAGTATATTAGGCTATGAGATCATTCATAATGTATACAGAAGAGATTTAAGGGCTGAGTACTCTGCAGCTTCTATGTGTAGAGGTATATGGACAAGGTAGTAGTAAAGAAGATTCAGAAGGAGCAACCAGTGAAATAAGAAGTGAACCAACAGAGTGGTATCCTGGAAGTGAAATAAAGTGTAAGGTACCTTGGCATTATAGGATGAGAACAAGTCTGGGAGTCTCCTAGGCCTGATTTAGTTAATTAGCCAAGAGTTCAGACAAGTTTCTTGATATTCGAGTCATAAAATGAGAGTAGTAAGACATTGAGCCCAACAGCTGCTGTTTAGGAATTTGTCAGAAACATATTAGATAAACATAAATATCCTTAATCTGAACATCTGAAATACTCCAAAATCTGAAGCATCTTATGTCCTAACATGATGCCACAGGTGGAAAATTCATATACACTCTCATATGGCAAGTTGCAGTCAAAGTGCAGGCACACTAAAAACACTAGGTAAGACTACCTTCAGGCTGTATGTATAAGATGTATGTGTATGTGAAACATAAATGAATTTCATGTTTAGATTTGGTTCCCATCTTCAAGATAATATAAAAAAACCCAAAGTCTTCCAGGCATTTCAGATTAGGAATACTGAACTGTATTTAGTTAATAGTATTCAGAAGAGGCTGGGTGCAGTGGCTCACATCTGTAATCCCAACTGCTTGGGAGGTAGAGAGTGGGAGGATCTCAGTTTGAGGCCAATCTGGGCAAAACATTAGTGAGACCTCATCTCAAATCATAAGCTGGGTATGGTGGCTCATGGCTTTGATTCCAGCTATGCTGAATGCTGTAGATAGAAGGATCATGATACTAGACTCACTATCCTAAAGCATGAAAGAGCTGGGGGCATGGCTTACGTGGGAGTGTGGGTGCCTAGCAAGCACGAGACTGAGTTCAAACCCCAGTACCACCTAAAGAAAACAAAAACCAAAAAAACAAACAAACAAAAACAGGCACTAGTGGATCACAGCTTTCATCCTCAGGAGGCAGAGATTAGGAGGATTGAGATTGGAAGCCAGCCCAGGCAAATAATTCTTGGGACCCTGTCTAGAAAATAACCAACACCAAAAAGGGCTGTGGAGTTGCTCAACGGGTAGAACGCCTTCCTGACAAGTATGAGGCCCTGAGTTCAAACCTCAGTACCAAAAAAAAAAAATAAATTTCTGAATATTTTCATAACTCTGATATGAGATTCTTTAAATATAGGAAATTAATAGTTGCACATTATATGTGAAAACAGGGTAGGACTGAGAACCAACATTGAGTTGTCGTTTCATTAAGTAGAGAACCTGTGGTGGGCAGGTGTGAAAATAAACTGTAGGACTCACTGCACTATTCCATAGCTCATTTTTTGCTATGTAAAGAAAGAACTTTAGGTCATCACAATGTAGTTTTATTTCTATTATGTATTTTCTTTCCCTGTAGCTAAAAACCCACTAAACCATGACCAGTTTTAACATTTATAGAAAAAGGGATTTTGAGGAACAAATTGTGAAATTGGTTGACTCTTTTCAACGCACAGATGATTTTTAATTGTTTTTCTATAAAGGTATAGCAAATGAATCTAAAAAATTATATGGAGTACAATTCCACCCTGAAGTTGGTCTGACAGAAAATGGGAAGATGATACTGAAGAATTTCCTTTATGATGTAGCTGGGTGCAGTGGGACCTTCACTGTGCAGAACAGAGAGCTTGACTGCATTCGAGAGATCAAAGAGCAAGTAGGCACATCAAAAGTTCTGGTAAGAATTCATGATCTGTGGTCTACAAATTTATGTCAGTAACATTGGAGCTCAGAGCTGGATTCCTATACACAGCCCTGAAATGTTGACTAGGGAGCAGAAGATTTATGTGTTGCATTCCTTTCAAGTGTTTTTTTTTCAGTTACTTATACATATCTTTGACTCAAACAGTGCTTTTAGGTAATAATACAGGGTGCTAATGTTTATATTCTTTTTTGTTTACTGTCTTCAGTTTGATTCTTTTTATTTTACTTTGTAGGTTTTACTGAGTGGTGGGGTAGACTCAACAGTTTGTACAGCTTTGCTAAATCGTGCTTTGAACCAAGATCAAGTCATTGCTGTGCACATTGATAATGGCTTTATGAGAAAACGAGAAAGCCAGTCTGTTGAAGAGGCCCTCAAGAAGCTTGGCATTCAGGTCAAAGGTATTAATGACCTACAGAAAAGTTAACTAATGTGTGTCAGGGCTTATTTTAACCAAATCAAGCCTTGTGGTTCAAATGAGCACATTGTCTTAACCAGTTGTTTCCCCAGTAAGCTCAAGGTTGAAAGTGTTTTTTATTTTTACATTATAATTACCTCTGGTTCAAAAGTGGTCCCAATATAAAATTTAAAACTATTGATTATTACTATTGTTACACTTAAATTGCTAAGTCATCATTTTCTGGCTACCATTCTGTTCTCTTTTAATTCTCTCTTAAATTTATCTTTTTGCACTTTATTTCATAATGTTACTTAGGCATGAGAATATCTAAGCCTTCCTACAACATGTATGAATATACAGAAAATTTTACAAACAGGCTTATACAGAGAAGGGGGATTAAGAGTCTATAGTCAGCTAGGCATAGTGTGAACCTGTATGTAACCCCAGCTATTTGGGAGGCAGAGAGGCAGAAGGATCATCTTAGCCTGGGCAATACAGGAGTCTTATTCTAACTGTTTAAAAATATAACTAGTCCTTAATTCCTTTTATTTTAAAGGCCACTAATAAACTTATTAGTTGTTAATGATATTCGCATTAATACTTTTTACTAATTATTTAATTTTGTGGTGCTGGAAATTGAATCTAGGGCATTGTGCTTGCTAGGCAAGTACTCCACTACATGAACCTTCAAGCCTTCTTTTATACTTTTTAATAGCAAGGGGTAAGTAGTTTAAATATACAAATCTTACATACCATTGAATTGATTCTAAAAGGTTGACTATAAGATGAAAGCTTTTAGATAAGCATGAAGTGAACACAAATCTGTTTTTTCTTTTTGAAGTTTCACTGAATTAATAGTGAAGGCATCAGGCAAGTGTAATGCTGCAAGCTAAGGAACAAGGTAGTGACAAACAGTGTGAAACAGAACACTTAAAGGTAGAAAGCAGATGCCTAAGCTAATGAAATTTTAGCTTGAGGGCTTCTGACTAGTCAGTCTTTTTCTAAAGTCCTGGGGGGGACCTCAGCAGTGTCTTCATATAATCATGTGTTTTTGTGAAATTTGCAAATAAGATATTTCTGTTCTGTAATTTGAGGTTGATTAACTATTTTCTTTCTGCTCTTATTCATTTTCTCCGTGTTGGATGGTATAGGAGTAGCTATGTGGCTTTTTTTTTTTTTTTTTTCAATCTGCAATATAGCAGATTAAATTCAGGGCTTCATACTTGCTAGCCAGGTGCTCTACTACTTGAGCCATTTTGCCAGCCCTTTTTTGTGTTGGGTGTTTTCGAGGTAGGATCTCAAGAACTATTGCCCAGGCTGGCTTTCAACCGAGATCCTCCTGATCTCTGCCTCCTAAATAGCTAGGATAATAGGAGTGAGCCACCAGTGCCTGGCCAGCTGTAGGCATTTTAGGATTAGGTTTAAAAAAGAGTTGAGTTGGAAATACATTTAGTTTTGGGTTAGTGATATATTGTAACATGTAATAATTTCTGTGTGCAGTTAAATTCTTCTTAGTCATCCAGAGTAACATTTGATTTTTAAGGTATCTTACTACTCTGGTTCTTAAAGGGGCCTTTACATTTTAAAAATTTCAACCTTACAAAAATCTGAATCTGTATCTTTGCTAACTGACATAAAAGAATGGAGGAATTCAGGGGCTGGGGATATAGCTCAGTGGTAGAACAAACTTACCTGGCATACACAAGATCCTGAGTTTAATCTCCAGCACCACAAAAAAGAAAACAAACAACAAAAAAAGAATGAAGGAATTCAAACTCTTGGGGTGCAGGTGGGAATAGGGCCAACAAGACATAAGCAGATTTTTTTTCTGCAGTCTTCTTGGGAGGCTCAGTAATTGAAGACATTGTCTTCCTTTGGGGATATGGGCCTCTGAGCAAGCCTAAAGCAAGAATTGGTTGAAAACATAGGAAGCAGATCCTTTTCCTCAATAAGAGAGGAAGCTGTTCGAAGACTTGAGTGTTTATTCTCTAGAGAGGCTGAATAGAGAGGCTTTGGATTTGAGCATACCAATAGCAGGCATAGTTGAGGGTAAGGTAAGGTTCTGCACTAAGAATAGGATGACGTAAAGATCTGTATATTGAATGGTGACTCCCTCCTCAAACTACTTCCTCTCTTTAACTGCCATAATGAGATTGGGGGTTCTTCTCTGGGGAAATTGACTAGCTTAAGAGAAAGACCTACAGATTCATTGATGAACCTCCCTGTGAAACAAATAGCCACCTTGTCATCTTAAGTAACAAATAGAGCTTATAACCAGTTACTAGGGATTGAACCCAGGTCCTTGCTAGGCAAGTGCTTTACATCTTACTAGGTACATCTCCAATCTTATTCATTGCAATTGAATAACATAAATAAAAGGACAGCCAGTTTTGCTAAATATGTGCTTATAAATAACAGTTTTTCAAGAGCTAGTCCGTGCCTTTCTGAGGACTTTTGTTCTCTGTATTCTCCACTGCTTTTGACTCTCAGAACTATACTTCATGTTGTGTGGTTTTTGCTTACTGCTTTGGTGGACCACTGAACTAAGCATCTAGCTTAGCTTGTGGTATCAGGGCCTAGATTGCTCTAAATGCTACAGGATTTTTATAAGAGAAAGTTTAAAGAATTCCTATATCTGAACCCTCTTACTTGTGGGTTATGGATAGTTCCTGACTATGTAGGCTAATTTCGGGGAGACCCAAAGATACATCTAGGTTTTCTTTCTTGGAGTTTCTTTTTTTTTGGAGTTTGACTTGTTTATAATTTAAAGAAATATAATACTCTTACTATAATACTACATAAAATATAGTATAATATAAATATAATACTCTCCTATTTCTTCCAGTAATAAATGCTGCTCATTCCTTCTACAATGGGACAACTACTTTACCAATATCAGATGAAGACAGGACCCCACGAAAAAGAATTAGCAAAACATTAAATATGACTACAAGTCCTGAGGAAAAAAGAAAAATCATTGGTGATACTTTTGTTAAGGTACCTTTCTTCTTAATGTCCTCAACACTTACTGTTTTTTTATGTGAATTTTGGTGTTTGTTTTTGTTTCATATTGTGTCAATCAAATTTGCTAATTTTGGTTATTTTTTTCTTTTGTGGCTGAGACTTTTACTGTATATTTTTTATGTTAGTAGAAACTTATTTTTAAAATACTTTGAGTAGATGTTTTCAATCCATATTGGACTTTAATTCCCTAGATATCTAAATGGCTAGATTTAAGCTCTGGAAGGGAATCTTTGCTTACTTTTTTGAATCATGTGAAAGCATGCATTTTTAGTAATAATATTTTGGGGTTTGATGGATCTAATTTCTTGGATAGAATAGCAAAAGGACTCTGAGAAGTTTACCTGAAAGTATAAAAGATTCATCCTATATAAGATTGTTTTTCTCCTGCTGGTTATAGATTGCCAATGAAGTAATTGGAGAAATGAATCTGAAACCAGAGGAGGTTTTTCTTGCCCAAGGTACTTTGCGGCCTGATCTAATTGAAAGTGCATCCCTTGTTGCAAGTGGCAAAGCTGAAGTCATCAAAACCCATCACAACGATACAGAACTTATCAGAAAGTTGAGAGAAGAGGTAAAAGCTTATGAAAACTTTTCCATGAAGTAGATACATGAAGAGTTCCTGGTCTTTCTCTTTTCTTCCTCCCAGTGTTCACAGGGTTGAACAACCATTACCACAGTCTCATTTTAGCACATCTTTATTCTCTAAGGAACCTCATACCTACTAGCAGTCACTCTTCATTTTACCTGTGTGTCACCCCCAGCCCTCCTTGCCAGCCCTAGCAAGCACTAACCACTAATTTATTTTTTGTCTCTGTAGTTTTACTGATTCTGGATGCTTACATTAATCAAATCATACAGTCTTTGATGATTGGCTTTCTTTTACGTACTTAATGTGTTTTCAGGGTTTGGTCATGTTGTAACATGTATAAGAACGTTACTCCTGGTTTTTTTGACAAGTATTCTATTGTGTGGTTATATTGCATTTTACTATCTAGTTATCATTTGGATGGACATTGGGGTTGTTTCCACCTTTTGGCTATTATAAGTAATATTGCTAATGAACATTGGCTCCACATTTTTTGAGTATATGTTTCATAGGTATAGAATTGCTAGGTCATCTCATAACTGTTTAACATTTTGATGAACTGCTAGACTAACATCCAAAATGGCTGCATCATTATACATTCTCATTAACAATATATGGGGTTCCAATTTGCATTCTTACCAAGACTTGTTATTACCTGTCTTTCTTAATTATTGTAGAAAACATGTAAAACTAAATATTGTCTTAATGATAAGTTTACAATTCACATTGTTGTGAAATGGGGATCTCCAGGGCTTTTTCAACTTGCAGAACTAAAATGCTGTACCCTTTTCTCCCACCTGCAACACTTGGCAATGACTGTTTTTCTCAGTTTCTGTTTGACTACTTTTAGTACCTTATGTAGGTGGAATCATACAGTATTGTCTTTTTGTGACTGGCTTATTTTACTTAGCTGCATTAATGGCCTTAAGGTTTATTCATGTTGGATTATATAACAACAGAATTTCTTCCCCTCCCCCCACCCCCACTGGTGGTACTGGGATTTGAACTCAGGGCCTCATGCTTGCTACCAGGTGCTCTACTGTTTGAGCCACTCTGGTAGCCCAAATTTCTTCCTTTTAAAGGCCAAACAGTAAATATTATATGTGTATACGTTTTGTTTGTCCTTTTTATTCAGTGATGGACAGTTGGGCTTCTACCTTTTTGGATATTGTGAATGGTAATGCTGTGAACATATGTATGCACAAATCACTTCAAGATCTTGGTTTCACTTTTTTTGTTTATGTACCCAGAAGTGAGATTGCTGGATGACTTGGGAGTTCTGTGTTTACATTTTTTTGAGGAACCTTCATGCTGTTTTCCATAGCAGCTGCCCCATTTTACAATTTAACCACATTACACAACGGTTCCAGTTTCTACATATCCTCATCATTTGCTGTTTTCTTTTCTTTTTTTTTTTTATAGTAGCCGTCCTAACATGTGCATTGCTATTGATTTTTTAGCCGTCCCAATGGATGTGAGTTACTGTCTTGTTGGGGTTTGCTTTTGTTTTTAATTTCTGAAACAAGGTAGCACAGGCTGGCCCTGAACTCTACATCTTCCTGCCTTAACCTCCCAACTGTTGAGATTACAGGTGTGAGCTACCACGCCTGGCTTCATTATGGTTTTGATTTGCATTTCCCTAAAAGCTTATTATGTTGAGTATATTTTCATATGCTTATTGTTCCATTCGTCTATGTTGGAGAAATTTTTGTTCATATTCTTTGCTCATTTTTAAGGTGGCTTTTTTTTTTTATTAAGTTGTGTTCTTCATATGTTTGAATTAAAAGTTTTATTAGCTAAATGATTTACAAACATTTTTTCCCATTTTGTGGACTGTCTTTTTGTTTTCTTGATATCATTTGGAGAGTTTTAAGTTTGAAATACTAATGTGATATTTTCTAATTTCCTTACATTCCTAATGAGAAGTAGATCAGAAATGGTGGGTAGGCTTATTCTGGTTTGTTTTTATTTGAAAAGTTTGTGTTTAAAATGTGTTTCAAGAAAAATATGATGAGTAACGCTAAAATATTCATCCCTTTTCCTTCCAAGCACATAGTAGTAAGCATGTTAGTTAACACATTTTTAAAGGCAAAGTTACTATTTTTGCTTCAGTTTGGTTTTTGGATTTTGAGACAGGGTCACACTATAAATCCTGGGCTGGCCTTGTACTTGCAATCCTCCTGTTTTAGCCTGCTTAATGCTGAGATTGTAGAGGTGCACCCCCATGTCTGGCTTGACGACGCTTTTAATCTAAGGAATATGACAGCAAGATGAGCCAATTACTTATTACTCTTTGTTTTCCAAGTTATTTTGATTGCTAGTTGTATTGATTGGCATTTTTTTCCTCCCTCTAGGGAAAAGTAATAGAACCTTTGAAAGATTTTCATAAAGATGAAGTGAGAATTTTAGGCAGAGAGCTTGGTCTTCCAGAAGAGTTAGTTTCCAGGCATCCATTTCCAGGTAAAACATATACTGGGTTTTGTTTGATTTATCTGTATTTCTTCACATTGATTCAATTCAGACAATTCTGAATAATTTGTTATTTCAAAGAACACATGACATGAGAGAAAGGAAGGGATGGACAGGGAATATTCTTTTTTGAGTATCTACTGTATGTACATCATTTTAGTACTCATTTTCCATTGTATTTAGGTATTTAGATATGGTCCTTGGGAGGCTGGCATATAGTGTTTGCATCAGATAAGAAAGCTTGATTTTTTAATAACATTGCTACACAATTCTAAATGGTAGACCTAGGATTTGCATATTCTTTATTATTATTTATCATGATGTAGTCCATGGAAAAAGTAAGATAAAACTTGATTAAAAAAATTAGGGTGGTGGTTTGTTTGCTTTTTGTTTTGTTTTTTTTGGTGGTCCCAGGCTGCCTTAGAACTCTAGGCTCAAGCAAATAGCTGGTACTATAGGTGTATGCCAGCATGCCTGGCTTGGTTCTTTTATTTATTTATTTAGGATACATTTGTTGTACAGGGGGGATTCATTGTGAAAATTCCAAATAGGCTTATATTGTACATTGGTTAGATTGCTTCCACCATCTCTCCCCCTAGACCCCCGCCCCATCCCACTTAAAGCAATTACAAGAGGTTTCATTGTTCTATTTTGTATAAGTATATATATCATATTCCCTCACCTTAATCTCCTTCGTTTACCCTCCCTCCTCCCACAGTTACCCCACTCACTGTGTCTGTTTTACAGTTACTAATTTATTAATTAATATTAATTGTTATTAATTTTTAAGTCAGTGTTCAGAGGGGTTTCTCAATGTATCCCTGCTGTAAGTACACTTCACTTTGATCAATTCAGCACCTTTCATTACTCTCCCTTACCCCTTCCCTCTCACCCCCATTATTCAACTGCTTTCAATACATACTGTTATATCCTCTACCTTCACAGATGTTATGTATTTCGATACTGTTGACACTCTTTCTCTTTTCCTTTCCCTCCTACCCTGAGTTCCATAAAATAGTTCCACTATTACAAACATGCTCTACATGTAAGTTTGTATATGATGTTGTTTGTTTTTGTATATGTGTTTGTCTTTTGGCTCTCTCTTCCACATGTGAGAGAACACATGTGGCCTTTGTCTTTCTGAACCTTGCTTACTTCACTTAACACGATGTCTTCCAGTTGCATCCATTTACCTTCAAACCACATGGTGTCATTCTTCCTTATGGTTGAATAAAACTCTGTTGTATATGTATATACACCAAATTTTCTTGATCCATTCATCATTTGTAGGGAATCTTGGTTGTTTCCATAGCTTGGCTATTGTGAGGGTCTTTAAAATTTTTATCCTGTGTTTGACTTGTTTGGATGAATCACTTCATTCATTTATAAAGCACACTTTGCGCAATATTCTGTGCAACTAATTCATGAACAACAACAAATTTTTTAGATAGCCATTTGCAATTATATAGAAAAAAATAATTTGAAATGATACTTGTTTAAAGTTAGGACTGAGATTCTGAACTTGTTTCGTTTCCAGTTTGGGCAAGACTTGAACCTCTGATACAGTTCTCTTCAATAGTGCTTAGGTGATTAAGTTGGGAGAATGGTATAGTTTAAGTAAAAACAGTAATAGCTGACATTTAAAAAGTAGTTTTATGTGTGCTTAACTACTTTAAAAATACTGTCTTATTTGTTCCTCATAATAGAAATTAGTCTTATCCTGTTTTGCTGGTGAGGAAATTTAGGGATGAAGCTAATTTGCCAAAAGTTAGACAAACTGGAAGTTGTAGAGAGGATTGTATTCCCAATAATCAGAATTTCTACTGTTAGCCACCATGTTGCCTCCATAAGCAGTGTTACAATTGTATAACCTATGTATTGATTAGCATTTGTTGTGAAATCTAGAAATTTAAGATCTTTGGTCTAACCTGGATGCTGGCAAAGAATTATTGGTGGATGTTAATGGAGGAGGCCAAGTGGCTCTTGTCCTTGATCGTCATTTTAGCTAGACTCAATGTGACTTTTTAAAAGTCTTCATATGTTGCCTTTCCTATAATGTATGGTTTCATTGTCAAAATGATTTTGCTGCTTTAAGAACTAATATTAAGCTTTTCTTTCTAAAGATTAATAATGAAACTAAGGGACAGTTAGTAGCCGTGGCTAACATTTTGCCTATAATTAGACATCTCAATGATGTTTCTTTATGTTGTTACAAAGCAGCAGCAGCAGCATCCACTTTTTCTGAGACATGTGCAAACCTTGTAGTTTCATCACCCTAAATATTTGGTAAAATACAAGTACCAGTTCACATCTTTTGGAGTTAAACACACTTTCATTATTTTTTTTTAACAGCATACTGCTTTAGTAGAAGTTATATGATTAATAGTAGAGGGTGGTTCATTGTACTATACTTTTTACTTTTGTGTAAATTGTAAAACTCCCTTAATAAAAATTTTAAAATAAATTGGCATATAATATGAATTTAAAATCTCTAGCACTGTAAACAAACAAACAAAAACCCCCAAAGCACTTTATGATGGCAGATGGATTTTAATTTCATCTATTTTAGAAAGTGACATTTTTCTATTAAAATTTGATATTATTATAAAATTTATATCAAATACTGTTACTCTTATCTGTAGGTCCAGGCCTGGCAATCAGAGTAATATGTGCTGAAGAACCTTATATTTGTAAGGACTTTCCTGAAACCAACAATATTTTGAAAATAGTAGCTGATTTTTCTGCAAGTGTTAAGAAGGTAATAATTTAACACATCTGATCAATACAGGGAATTGAATGGAATCCTGCCGTTCTCTTGTATTTACAATGACTTTATTAGGGTTTCATTTTTAAAAATTCAGAGAAGTATATACATGTTTGAAATGACATGGCGAAACCCCCTTGAACAATCAGTATACACTTAAAACAGGAGGTAAAACAGGAAATAGAGAGGGTGAAAGAAGGTGAAAGAAACCTATTGAAATTGTTCTAAAGAAGGGGAATGAGGGAGAATGATGGGGAAGGGGTGAATCTAGTCAAGATACATTGCAAGCATATATGTAAATGTCACAATGAAACCACCTGTACAACTAATACATGCTAATAAAAATGAAAAAAAATTCAAAGAAATACTCTAAAATGACTGTGAAGAAATATCTACAGAGACTTAAGTACAGTCTTCTCTTCACAGCCAAATAAGATACCCTGGTTTCTAAAAATAGTAAGTTACTTTAAAACCCATATTCCATATGTATTGCTAAAAAGTAAAATATGTGTTATTATTAAGTAGAGGAAGCTTTGAGTTGGGAGTGAGTTGAAAATATCAGTTCAAGAAGTCAGAACTAAAAAAAAAAAAAAAAAAAAAAAAGAAGTCAGAACTGTCTATTCCTCTGAAGGCAACTACTAACTCTTGTGGTTTGGGGCTTCCACTTTAATGATTCCTTTCATGTGTAGATGTCTGAATGTGAGACCTGTAGTTCTTTGAAGGGCTAGGAATCAGGTCAGAGGTCTTCACTGAGCAACACCTTAGCTCCAAATTGAGGATGAGTAGAAAAGTCTCCCAGTTCTTCATATTTGAGTGTGGTCTGAAAATGCATGCTTAAGAGTTTTAATTTAAAGTAGACGTGGGTTGGTAGTACTTCCAGGACTTAGGCAAGAAGCAGAAGCAGTGTAAATTCTCTTTGGAATAATCTTCAGCTAATCCCCAAAGAATTCCTATAGATTTCCAATAAATAGGAGCTTTTAATAAAAAAAATTAAAATGCACATACAGAAATAAAGCACCATGAATAGGAGTGGAAATAACTAGCACAACAACATCCTCAAAGACTTTAGATCCTAGAATAGCAAACAATATATAAAGTAAATAAAAGTAAAAGAGGTCTGGCTAATAAAAATAAGGAATAAGGGAGCACTAAAAATGTTGGGCACATTTTGAAAAAAGTTAAGCTCTAGAGATGTAATAACTGAAGTTAAGAACAGATGAAGAGAGAATTCATGAGCTTAAAGATAGATGTTAAGAATTTATCTAGATACCAGAAGAAATTATCAAAAATAAAATATGGGTAGAAGAGGTCAGGTCACGAGAAGGTCAGTTTTAACTTATGTCAAGGATATAACAGGCAAATAAATTAGCTTTCCCAAACTGTTGAAATGATTCCATAGATTCTGTAAATGTCACAGGTGTCTTGAGCAGGATAAGGGAAAGAACTTGACACCTGCTAGGCATATCTTAGTAAAATTACAGACTGTCCAAATAAAGCAACTGAAGAGAAAAGATCAAATACCTACAAAGGAAAGACTACCAGACTGAAAGACATCAGAGTATCAAGGTCTTAGGTATAGAAGGATTGGTAAGCAAAGAAAATGGTAAATGGGTAAAATTAAAACAAATATGGACCATATACTGGTAAAAAAAATTGATGTACTTTTTGCTGTTTACTTAAAATTATGTGACCGTATATAAAGTATTAAAATGTTCCTGTATTGTTTCCCAGAAAGAAAAACTGATTCTTTTTTAAGTATCCATGTTAGCATTTAAGGGGGACTACTAAAAGAATAGAAATAGAGGGTTTGACTTTTTAAACTGGTAAAGGAGAAATAAAACTGGAAGAAGTTACCAGCTCAAAAGATGGCAAAAAGCCAGTCACTGTTGGCTCATGCCTGTAATCTTAGCTACTTGCAGGGCTGAGATCTGGAGGACTGCAGTTCAATGCCAGCCTGGGCAAATAGTTTGCAAGACTCCATTTCCAAATAACCAGAACAAAAATGGACTGGAGGTTAGCACCTGCTTTGCAAACGTGAAGCACTGAATTCAAACCCCAGTGCCACCAAAAAACAAAAGCCAAAACGGAAGGGGAAAAAAAGAAACAAGACAGACTATATAAAGTCTTGATGTATGTAGTCTAATCTGTATTTCTTACCCTGAAATTAAACTTTTCTGGATAGCCCTCAGGAATTAATTTCTGGTGTGTATAGCATGTGTGGGTCAAGGAAATACCACATATGATGTTAAAAACCAGGATGTGCAGGTACATAAGATAGTAGTGGGTACCAAGAGTGAATACCTTGTTACTTGAAACCTAAGAAAATGTCTGTGGTTTTCTCAGCCTCATACACTGTTACAAAGAGTTAAAGCCTGTACAACAGAAGAGGATCAGGAGAAACTGATGCAAATTACGAGTCTGCATTCACTGAATGCCTTCTTGCTGCCAATTAAAACTGTGGGTGTGCAGGTGAGTGGTGTGTTTTTGACTGACATAACTTCCTGTTATATGCTCTTTTCACTAATACGGAAGCAGAAACTACTTAGGAAAATGAGATATGAAAGTATATATGCTAAGTTAGAAAATAGGCAATTTTAGACTGTTTATGGAGTGAATAAGGTTCTAGGAACTAAATAATAAATATTGTGTAATTTTGGAACAATTCAAAAGTAAGACTTAAAAAAGAACTATTTGGTTTGCTTATATCTTTGGGAGGCAGGTGCCAAGAGGCTATGTCCTTATTTATCCTTGGAGGTAAATGAGGTGTGACATACACTTTGATTCTAAGTCTTTTTTAGCTGCAGAAAGGCCTCCAGATGAGTCTACTTCATCATTCAGGTCTTGCTTTCAGCTTGTGTATATCCAGCATTACTGTTCTCCGCCTGTTCATCATGCTGTCTCTAGCGAGTAGTGCTTTTGTATTATTCTGCCTTTCTAGATGCAGAAGCATGTGCAAATAGTAGTAGTTCTCACTTTTGACATGCTGTTTATAAAATGACCAATTTAAGTCCTGCTTTGTTTACATGATCCTTCAGTGAGTTTCTGGAGGAAGAAGCTTGGCGGGAGGGTAGAGAAGAAGGAAGTTCCTTTTCTGTTAGAGTTTATGATTAAATGATAATTAGAAAAGATGTCAGTAATTCAACCCAAATAGTATACCACTTACTAGATTAATTTGTTTATAGTCCTTTTTTTTGTTTAAATATTTCAGCTTTTCATTTTTCCTTTGTGCACAGAGGGTCATACTCACCATCAGAATCACCATCAATGAGTACTCATGGGTATGAGTTTCATCACAAGTGATTTGTATTATGCTGTCGTAGCATAGTGTATTTTCCCCTAGAGTAGAACTATGTATTGAAAGAAATTTACTATTTTTGAGTTTATTCATCTATTACTTATGCATATTCTTTTCTTAAATTTGTCAGTTTGTTAGTTTAAATTCCTCCTTGCCCTGAATTCATCTAGTTCTGTGTGAATAAGCAAGGTAACATTTCACTGTTACTTTTAAGATAAGCTAAAGCATTATAGTTTGTGGAAATTATAGTCAGCCTGTGTTTCCCCACTTTTTTAAAAGACTGTATATTTAAAATGTTAATACTGTTTTAGAATAGCTATTCAAATAAACCCTTTTAGAATTATAGAAATAAATCTTTCAATGATTTACGAATTATCGTACATAGATTTATTTTGAGATTTGTTAGGATATTCACAAGCATATATAAAAAAATATATAAACGTACTATATAAAAATAGAAGTGTAGATAGGTTGCTTAATTCCTGCAAGTTTTCCCAGGTCTTGTGTGAGGGCCTGGGTTTGATCCTCAGCAATGTTAACAAAAACCAAAAACAAAACAGCAACAACAAAAATTTTAAGTCTTCAGTGGATTTATTTCAGGAGAATTTTCACTTGAGTGTGCTATTCCTGCTAGGCAGGGAGTTGAGTTGAAATCGTTCCCCATTCTTTCTATAAAAGTGTTATAAATAATAATTTTTTAAATATATACTATAGCAATTAACATTTAAACTGTCTTCAGTTTTTTATTATTGTAGGCATTTCAGCAACTGGGATTATGTCTGAGAATGAAAAAGATCATTTAAGTTTACATTTTAAGTTCACATTTTATAGTGTATATATATAGTATAAGTTGTTGTATTACTGATTTCTTTTTTGAAAATGGAACATTTTTCAGACTCTAGTAGTCTTAGCAAAATAAGTTACTTTTTTTGTTAGATACCTAACTTTGTTCTTTCAAAGACCCTTGCAAGCCCCAATAAAAATCACACATCATGCTTGATAGGATGTGAGGTTTATTTTCTAAATACCAAGGTAAAACCATGCTTGTAAAGATATATTTTAAAAATTCTCCTTTATTTCTACTGTTCAGCTAAGTTTTATGTATGGTCCTCCAGAACACTTATTTTAACAAAAATACAAGGGAATTATAGGTAACTTTTTTTTGATGTAACTGAACACCATGAACTTAGCTGAAATAGATTGTAAATCTTGTAAATATATTAGTCTCCTTCTGCCTCATATTTCACATATATGTAAATTTATCTGTTCTCCTACCAGTTAGCATTTTAAACTGTCTTCAGTTTTTTATTATTGTAGGCATTTCAGCAGCTGGGATTATGTCTGAGAATGAAGGAGATCATTTAAGTTTACATTTTAAACTTTTATAGGTACTATTAAATTAGAACCCAGATAATTTGAATTCTTATATTCTAAGTACCTGACATTCTAGATATTAGGTTGTTATTTGGTCAATCTGTTAATTTTTAAAATTGCTTTTTACATTTAGTTTGGATTAAATAGAACAAAGAAAAAAGGGAATAAGTATCAGTTTAATTCACTTTTAAAATTTTTAAAAATTTCTAAATCTTGACACAAAATTATACATATTTATGGAATTCTATGTGATATTCTAATACATATATACCTTGTGTAATTTTCAAATCAGAGTAAACATACCTACCTTCTCAAACATTCACAATTTCTAAATGGCGATTCAAAATCCTTTTTTTTTTAAATGTACAGTATGTTACTTAGCTACAGTCACTGGAGTGTGCGGAGAATGCCAAAACTTACTTTGCTTATCTAACTTTAACTGAATCATTTAATCAGCCTTTACCCGTCCATTCTTCATTACCTGCAACTCCACTGTCTCAGCTTTTCTCCAGTCTTTCGTAACTACCACTCTACTCTTAACCTGTATGAAATGAACTCTTTTAGATTCTATGTATGACGAGATCACGTGATATTTATCTTTTAGTGTCTGGCTTATTTCACTTAGCATAATGATCTCCAGTTTTATCTACATTGTTGAAAATAACAGGATTTCCTCTTTTTTTTTATGGCTGAGTAGCGTTTCATTGTGTGTATATACCATATTTTCTTTTTCCACTTGATGGATACTTAGGTTGTTTACATTTGCTTATTTTTAAGTTAACTTTTTAAGTTCATTTTAAAACAAGTTGATAAGTAAAAGTTTATGAATTGCTTTTGTTTCCCACTTAAGAATCCTTTGCCCACTTTGAGCACATGATAAAAGCGAGAGCACACAAAGGAGGTGTGAGGATAGGTAAGACACCTAAAAAATTAGCTAGCATTTGTTGCCCTTAACTCAGAGAAACTAAAATTTCTCAGAGTTACCTTAAAAGCAACTGAGGCCAATAGGAAAAGGGGACCAGGAACTAGAGAAAAGGTTAGATCAAAAAGAATTAACATAGAAGGTAACACACATGC